CCAGCTCGCCCTCAGTACCGCATATGAGAGAAGCTGGGTTATCGTCAGGACATCTCACAAAAAGCCTAGATGACACTTACACAAATAATCGTGCATATTTATACCCCTTGCATACCCCGCGTGTGCATCGGGGCTTTCGGGAGGTGTCATACCGGCGGGGGTGGTGATGGAGTCGGGAGGTTGGGCGCCGCTGACGCGTGGGGAGGCGGAGGTTTGGTGTCCACCATGCCCGGCGCGCGATCTGGGACCGCCGTGTCGCTCGACGATGCCCGGGGGCGACTCAAGGCTGCATGAGCGAGAGCAGAGTTCGAGGCGCGCGAGTTTAAAGGAGGGCAGGGATGGTCTGATAGACCCGCGCCGTGCGGTGCGCTCGAAGGAAGGTCGTTGGGTGATGCCACTAGTGACACAGGCAGGCCTTCCGTAGGGTGGCTGCCTTTGGGTCGAGCGCGGGGGTCCCAACGTCGGCCAGGTGATTTTCGCCGATTGAACCCATGTCTCCGAGGAGCAGTTGGGATGCGAAGGGTTCAGTGATGGGGTCCGCCACACGGGTCATGGCGAGGTGCAGGCGGGCCACCTCATCCAAGACCCTCAAAACTGACTTGACTTGTTCTGAGGCCCTGTGAACCCGGGCGCGACGGCCGCGCTGGAAACTGCCTTCCGGGTGGCTTCGAAGCGAGTCCCATGACGGGAGGAGCGTCTGACAGAGGCATGGAGGCGCTATCCTTGACGTTTTCCAGGAGCGCGAAGAGCTTCTTGACCTCCTCAGGCGTCGGGCCGGAGCTGGACGCAGCGCTCGGTGGCTCCATACGGGCCAGCAGCTCTGCCATCTGGCAGAAGTTGGCCATGGGGCCGTTGCGGAGGACATCGTCGCGGGTCTGAGAGGCGCTGTTGGTCACGTCTTGCGAAGGGATAGACAGGCCACTGTCGCGGTGCGCGCCCTGGGAACTCGATTATCCTCATTCCGGGCACGTCTTTGTGAGGAAGAGGAGAACCCGGGAGTCTAGGGACTGCAAACTGCGAGCGCGTCGCACGGAGGAGCGGCACAGCAAGAGGTGGCCCAGAAGAGGAAGCCGTGGTTGAGCTCTGGCCCACCTGCGGCGATAGACCTTTGATCTGCTGGCTGCTCCCCAAGCATGGCCACGGTCTGACGCTCGTAGCACGCATTCTTTTGAGCGGAATCGACCAGGAGGTTCTGATGGCTTTCCGGGGCCAGAAATACGGTCAAACTGGCTGAGAATAGGCCAGCTTGAGAACCATGTCAAAATCTGGCTGTAAGAGAGACGGGAATTGGGATCTCACAAAAATGAGGGTGCCGTCCCTGTCTTCCAAGTCTGAATTATGGCTTCATTGTGACCTTTGATTTCCTTCCCATAGAGGGACAGGAGACTATTGGCATGACCGTCATAATCTGCGCGGTTAGGCCTGAATCATCTTGAGTGCCGTTTTCATCATCCAATAGAGGTATAGGATTGCACGTCGATCTACTGGCACGCTCTCCGCCAGGAGGAATCTTCATTTGTTTAACTTTCATGATTGAATCAATGCTTACGGGCATTGGACTAGCGGTAGGTGTTGAACCTTGAACCTTGTCGGAGCTTATGGGAAACGCCAGGATGGCTCCAGGAAATTGAGAGGCCTACCAGGAAGTCTTCTTGCATTGCGTGCCTCAATCATGTCGGCGTCACTTTCAGATTGCGCCCCTGGAGGTTCAGAGACAGTTTGGTTTCGTGGTAAGGTGAACATTACTTGAGTTGCTGGCAGAGGTGAATGTACGCACCCAAGACGCGTGCCAAGAATATGCGACTGGGCGCGGCGGCAGCACCGGCCCGCCATTCCCACGCGTCTCAATCATCGCCTCCTCCCGTCGTTCCACCCCAATCTCGCTCGCAAAACGTCGTTTCCCCTGCCTCTCGTGACATATAATATTTGCATACCCTTTGACAAGGCATTAATGGGGTAGTGGTAACCTGGGTCGTTGCCACTTCATGAGTCATGTGATCTCACAGTCACTACTCTAGTAACTTCGACCCGCCCTGGGTTCGATTCCCAGTTAATGCACACTTTTTGCTGCGTCTCAGCATACCACTCCTGTTTTCCTGTCTCCCCGTGGCCATACTCCTATGGACTGGACCGCGTATCAGGATCGGAAGCCCACCGCAGCGGCTTTGCGCCGGAGCTTGCCGGGCCGTAAAGGACTAGCATCCTCAACAGATCATCAGTGCACCACTACAGTCATAACAAGCCGGCGCCTGTTCATCCACCAGGGACATCTGTGCCGCCGAAGCAGATGCCAATCTGCACGTCAATCAGCGAGCGCAGTCGTCACCGGAGCGTGCACGCGTGCATCATTTCTCGCGTTACATGTGAATGCACGTGTTCTATGTAGATACATGAGCAGATGTCAATAACACAACAGGTCCTACGGACTATGACACCAACGTCTCCTATCATCATAGGTATCACCCGCCTTCACGGAATCCTGAGGGATAGCGAGGCATCTCCACTCGGAGAGTGAACATGTGTGTGTTCTACGTCCACAGTAACCACGGCTCCGAGGCCCGTTGACGGCCCATCTGCGTCAGGGGGGACAATATGTTGGTAGAAGTAGTTTGTTGCGTAGGATTGCCGGCGTCGACGGGGTATTGAGAACTTGCGAGACGCTTTCCAGTGAGACAGGTACTGCGACCGGAAGCACAGAGTGGTTATTTGGAAAGAAGAGTCGACAGGGAGCGAAGGCCAACAATGGCGATGACATAGATGCTGCACCAATGACCGGCGTTTCGCTCGTCCCAGGCGTGATTAGCGTCGCTGGATTTGCGGGATTGCTCGGGAGTGCGAGCTCGGACGGTTCGAGGGCGGGAGGTCGTGCAGATTCGAGGGAGGTAGCGCCATGTGGCTGGTCTGTGAGTCGTCCAAGATGGCCAGAGGCTGGGGATGGAGGATGGGAAGTAGGAGGGCGGCGGTGGGACGCCTCGACGCATGGGAGGAAGTCAAATCGCTTGAGGGTGATGAGTTTATCGTAGGGTATATCACCTCGAAATTGTTCTGAAGCCATTGTAACGGCTTGAGGGTGAGAATGGGAATAGAGAGGTTGGAGACATGCAAGGATATGCAAAGCCACCTTGTGCTCGTCTCGGTCCGGCGCGACCCCGATGGCACGATTCCAAATCTCGCACAGGCTATAGCGGACCTCGCTGGAGAGACCCTCCCTTAAGATGGGACGTGGTTGTAAGTCGCGTAAAGTAGCGGTTATTGCCTTCGCTTGCGTCGTTCGAGATGGTCCATTGAGATAGGGTAATGCAACATGGCGAATAAAGCGCAGGGTAACGGCACGGCGGATCTCAAGACCAGACAAGCCAGCCAAATCTGTGAGTGGAGGAAGGCCTGCGATGCGGGTAATGGAAGTGATCATCTCTGTGGTCCTAGATTCCCGTGGGAAGCACAGAAAAACCCATGGGCCATACATTTCGCAGCGACGGCGAGGTCTTGATCCGAGTCCTTTGCCATCCTTTCCAAAGTGAGTAAAAGGTCAGATTCGGCCCCCCTGAACTGCCTCGCCCACTCGAGCCGCTCGAGCCGCTCGAACCACTCGAACCACTCCAACTGCCTTATCCGCTCGAGCCACTCGGAACACCATGGTCGAAAACCATGAGGGAGGAGCGCAAATATAGCTTCAGAGCATATCTTGAACCGTCGATGTTGGGCCGCCTGAGGGGATAAGCTTGGCCCTATGGGACGAGAAACCAGGCCCAGCGCCCCGCTGATGAGGCCGTCGCGATGACTGAGTGTGTCCACGCGCGCCAGCACTACCGCAGGCTGCTTCACCGTCCTTGAGTTCAGCAGGCCAAGGACCCCGGCTAGGAATTGCTCCAACTCGTGATCCTCGTCCAAGGAGTCGTATGTCCATGCTAATGCCCGACTGTCCGTATCGTGGGACTGGTCCATTGCTGCCTTTTCAGCTGATTTGAGCATTCCGCTCGTGACCAGAGCTTGCAAACTTGCCCCCAAGTGACGGAAGGTGACATAGACTGGTATTAGTGTGTGGAATTGGCCTGAAAGGAAGTCGAGAATGTGCCTCAAGACATTGACAGGCGGTCGGAGGATGTATAAAACAGCCATCCAGCATGACGCGGTCAGAGGCGTGCGATATGGGCTATTCGGGAATATCGCCGGCAAGATCGTGATCACCACGTAGAGTGACAGGCAGAGCGCGACCCATGAGACGATGATCTTGAATATAGTGAGGCTGATGGTGAAAAGAAGGACCGAGAGGCCAGCATAGAATAGGAAGACGGATAGATGGAGGAGAGCAGGTAGTGCGTCGATTGCCCAGGATACCCGGAACCTCTCCACACCTTCGGCATAGAACGAGCGGATGCGAGCCCGCTTGTATGGCTGGTAGCGTGTCTGGGTCACGCGCAGATAATGCCGTGCCCATTGTTGCAGCATCGTGGCCAGGAGCGCGCATGTCAAGCTGATGACGAGACTGAGGAACCAGAGAGCGTTGACCCAGACGGTAGTCGCGGATGGACTAAAGCTGGCAGGATCGGAGATGGTCGAGGGGATAGAGACTTGAGAACCATTGCTGGAGGCTGATTGCTGATAGATGCGCGAGAGGTAGAAGGCGGACGCGTCCTGTGAGTTTAGCTGAAGCCCTTGGTAGGTGTTCCCGAGAAAGGTTGCACGGAGGCGGAGAATAGACCAGTCTACAACGGAGGGTCTGAGCACACCACGAGGCAGAGAAAGGGGACGATGCACGTACGAATACGAGTATCCCATCCGCGTCACCCTTCCAATTCTCGACCATCCTCCTGTCTTCCTCCTCGGCGCGCTCGAGGTACATAGTGAATATCGGGCCTGACGGATCACTGAAGGTCTTTTCGGACTGGACATGAGCTTGTCCATAAGCTTGTTTGGGTGGATATGCTAGAGTGGTTGCAATGCACGTCGATCAGAAACATGCAAAGCATCACTAGAATGACCGACACGGGGTACCTTGAGCTTCACCTTGCACCGGTCCGTGCGTGTTTACGGTGAGTACTGCGTTAGTTCCCAACTCGATGTCTTGCTCCATGATGATGTTAGAGTGAGCGAGTGTGGAACACGAGGTTCCGGCGGGTCAACCGGTCTTCAGCTTCAAGCGCTGCACCGCGAGTCAGCGCAGCGCAGCGAGGCGACCGTTCTGCTACATACAAATGTAGTTCTGCCTCGTGGTCTCGCTGCTGGCACCTCGCCGCACTGGCGCACTTTCGGTCCCTCTCTTCTTGCTTCGCTCGCCGCCGCTGCCAGCATGCTTCGATTTCGATCCAAGGCTCGCTGACGTCACCGTCGCGTTCGCTCACCCTTCTCGGACTCTGTTCAGCTCTCCGACTCGCATCGATCTTCTCTTTTTTTTTTTTTTTAGCTCTCCTGATCCACGTCCCAGACAGGGCGACCCTAGCTGCGCCTGGGTTCTCTCCAACCGATGCCTTCTCACCGCATATATCCCATCGTTCCTTCCCCTCAGTGACTCCTCCCCATTCATCCATCTCTTCCCCTCGAATCACTCGCCTCCTCCCATCTCGGTAGAACTCCTGCCTGAAGCCGCATTCTCTGTCTTATCTTGCTCCGATGGTCCTCTATTCCAAACGCAAGACCACCCCAGCCGAGAGGTACCGCAACAGTCTTGCCACGTTGACCCCGGCGCAAAAAGCTGAGCTCAAAAAAGACCTCCACGGCTTAATACACAGCGAAGCCGACAAGGTGTGTCGGTGTGTCCCCATGGTGGATGTCCCGTCCTTCCGCAGACTGAATCTATAGAATCACCGCTGTGCGGGCTGCCACCGTCGATTCTCCGACTTTGGCTACCACCTTGCCATACGCAAAGCCGATGCAAAGTGCAAGTCGACGCAGTTCAATATTCTCGTGAGCAAGGGCAATTGGGGCCCAGAAATCGAGTACGCCGAGTGGACGGAATCTCAGGATGCCGCCTCTAGCCCGGATCAACTCACAGCGTCGACCTCTCACACTCACCTGTGAACCCCTTGCTCGCGTTGATTTCTTGTTCGCCCTATTGCCGTCTCCTCGCTGGTTCTCTCTTGTTTCTCTTACTCCTCTGCCTCCTCGCTCTCGTCAAGCAGGATGATGTATCCTATGTCTCAGTCTCTCATAGCCGTGTCTCAATATCTTGTCCACCAGCACTGTAGAGTTCATGCCTCGTCTCTTTGTGCTCTGTCTTTTGCTCTGCCTTGGGTCCCCGCTCTGATGGCCTCGAGCTTTCTGTGTCATGTTACGATACCTCGTTTCTCCCGGGAATATCGAGGCGACTCTTCGGCGTAGAGTGATACTCGTATAAATTTGTATTTCTCGATACGTACACAGTACTGGCAACCAATGTATTGCATTGGCTGCCATATTTGCGAGCGTCTTGTCAACAGTCTTCCACTCGCGCAGGTGCAGCATGCTCAGCGCCCGTCCGTGCATTAGAGTACCTCTATAGGCATTGCTCTCCCACACGTATCTTCTATACATCGGCAATCACACACACCCCAGAGGGAGTCCTTGTTTCATTTGTTCAGAAGCGGGGTGAGATCATTCAATAGGCGCAAAAATCATGGCAGCGAGAGGACCCGGCTTCAAGCTCTCCAGCTTCCATCCCGCCTTGAGCCCAAGGTCGACAAACTGCTGCCTCGTGCGCTCTTGCCCGCTGGCCATTGCCATCATCTTGTAATACCCAAGTCAGCCGGTTTTAAACTGCGAGGGAACGAATCACACCTGCAAATCCATGACCGTGCTCGTGCCGCCCACAGCAACACCCAGGTTCGGGAGCAGAGGGGCCGGTGGAAGCGGTGGGCCGTCCGGCTCGACGCAGGCGTGTTGCATGATGCTTTCGAATACAATCAGACGACTGTGCGGCTCGGCGGCTCGGCGGAGCTGCGTGAGGATCTCAATGCACTGTGGGTTGGGCCAGTCGTGGAGGATCCAGCGCAAGATGTACGCAGCGGCACCCTTGACCTGCTGCGGTTCGAAAAAGTTCTGCTCTGGCGACAAATGCGACAGTTCAGCCGCAGACAAGAAGA